CGACCTAATATCCAAATATCACCCAAAACGCACTCTCCGCTCCTCACAAGACCTCCTTCTCTCCAGTTCCCTGATCTCCTCCTCCCATGCCCGCCTCCAGGACTTCTCCAGGGCATCACCATCCTCTGGAACTCCCTACCCCAATCCATCAGATTATCACCTACTCTCCTCACCTTTAGGCGCACCCTAAAAACCCACCTCTTCAGGGAAGCCTACCCCACCCTCTGCTAACTGCCGATCTCCTCCACTCTTCCTACCACTCCACCCCCCACAGCTTTTCCTCCTGTACCACTATCCCCTCCCTCCTAGATTGTAAGCTCCAAGGAGCAGGGCCCTCAAACCCCTCGTGTATTGCATTGTATTGTTATTGTACTGTCTCCCATTGTAATGTACAGCGCTGAGCGAACTGTTGGCGCTATATAAATACTGTGTAATAATAATAATAATAAAATATTTTTTTTTTTTCTCAGGCCTTGTGACATTTCTCTTCCATGTGGTGCCATTGCTGACAGCATGAAACGGGAAGGGGTTTTCTTTGTTAAAGCGGAGTTCCAATAACCTGTCAAAAAATAAAAGTCAGCAGCTACAAAAACTGTAGCTGCTAACTTTTAAAAAACAGCCACTTACCTGTCCCTCGGTCCCGCGGCATGTCCTCCGTAGCCCGTTTTACCGGCCGTCCTAAATTCCAAGAGGCCGGCATCTTCAGTGTGGGCACCTGGCTGCGATAGCTTGCGGCTTCACAGCCGGGTACCCACTGCACATGCGCGAGTAGCACTGCGCTTCACGAAAGGTCCTGTAGTCTTCTGGGACCTGTCATGTGCCGCTAAAGACTAGGAGGGAGGGAGGGAAGACACCCACCTTTTACCGATCGCCTAGGTGATCAGACCGGAAATGGGAGCGCGTACCTGTCAAATCGGGGTACCCGCTCCTCCCCGCCCCCCAAAGTTGCCAATCCTCAGTGGGGAGTGGGGGAGCTGTCTTTAAAGTGGAACTTCCCCTTTTGGGTGGAGCTCTGCTTTAAGTAACCCTTTTTTTAAATCAAGTGTCTGCTGGACATCAGTTTAATGAATAATTGGACTCACCTGTAGTTGAATTCTTGTTAATTAGGATTTTGTTGTCTACAATTTAGTTGTGCTCCTAAGGCTGGCCATACATTATACAATTATCTGGAGATTTTTGGTTTAGATTTACCAAAAACCATATAATAGGAGGACAAACCTAAACAACACTTTCAGTTGTATCCAATTAGGCAGGCCCTTGCACTACATAGTTGAAGGTAAATCTAAAGGAAATTAGGCAGAAAATTGGAAGATAATTTTATAATGTATGGCCAGCCTAAGACTTTCATTGGGATATATTAACCTCTTGGCGCTGACCGCACATAAATGTGCGGCCTCCTGGCGTCTGGGCCTTGACGCCGAGTGGCCACACATTTGCGTGCAATTATGAAAAACATATGTGCTGAGAGCGCGCGCCCTACGCGCTCCTCTTTCGATCAGTACCTTTCCCAATCATGTGATAGCGAATCACAGCGGTCACATGACCCTAAAACCCCGCCCCGCCTCCCGGCTTCTGAAACCCTTAAATGGCCAGGAGGTGCCGGCGCCAAGGGCTTCATTTTTGCAACAAGGTCTTGAATTCATTTGTTTGTGTTTGCAAATTAACAAATCTTGTTTGCAATCAATGGCTCCCATTTGTGGGACTATTTTGAATATAGTGTCCCATAGGAAATGTTGATCCTGAAAGGAAAGCAAACCCCTGCTTTGTTGAAGGCCACTGAACCAAGACCAACCAAACATCTTATATTATCTACAAAAAACAACTTGTGTACAGTGCCCCGCACCTACCTTCAGATGCATTTCTTTTACTAAGTTGCCAAGCCCAAAGGTATCACCTTTACCTCCGCCTCTGTCTCTTTCACCAAATTGTCAGTCACCTCCCCCACCTTTTAGCAGCATTAACGATTTAATACAATTTATTTATTTAAAGATACTTATATAGCGCCATCAATGTACGCAGCGCTTTACATATATATTGTACATTCACATCAGTCCCTAACCCTCAAGGGGTGTACAATCTAAGGTCCCTAACTCACATTCATACATACACATACTAGGGACAATTTAGACAGGAGCCAATTACCTACCAGCATGTCTTTGGAATGTTGGAGGAAACCGGTGTACCCGGAAGAAACCCACACAGTCACAGGGAGAACATGCTAACTCCAGGCAGGTGGTGTCGTGGTTGGGATTCGAACCAACGAGCCAAGTACTGCCAGGCAGAAGTGCTAACCATTTAGCCACTGTGCTGCAATGATAGTGGTTTGATACATGATGCAAATATGTGTTAAAACAGTTCCAGTCCCCATAAATGTTTTTTTAATACAGCTCCCCCGTAAATATTACAATCTGCACTGTAATATCAAAATTGCTGCCAAGTATGATATTATGCTCCTTATGTAATAAATCTAAATGGCAGCACAGTGGCTAAATGGTTAGCACTTCTGCCTGGCAGTACTAGGGTCATTGGTTCATATCCCAACCATGGCACCACCTGCCTGGAGTTTGCATGTTCTCCCTGTGCCTGTGTGGGTTTCCTCCGGGTACTCCGGTTTCCTCCCACTCTCCAAATACATGCTGGTAGGTTAATTGGATCCTGTCTAAATTGTCCCTAGTATGTGTATGTATGAATGTGAGTTAGGGACCTTAGATTGTACGCCCCTTGAGGGTTAGGGACTGATGTGAATGTACAATATATATGTAAAGCGCTGCGTAAATTGATGGCTCTATATAAGTACCTGTAATAAAATAAAAATAAAATAAATGATCTTACATAGATTTCGGAAGCAGGCAAGTTCCATGATGGATGTGGGCATCTGAAGCCCGCTACTGTATACTTCCTGGATTCAGTGTTGCTAGCTATCCCAGCATGCACCTCTGGATCTCGCACCTGCGCAGCAAGGACACTGTGCGGCACAATTTGTTTAGAACAGGTTTCCATAACAATCAGGGGTGTAATTACCACAAGGCAAACAAGGCATTTGCCTAGGGCGGCATTTTTCAGGGGGGCAGCGCTGCCTCCTGTAAGAAGGGACACACGTGGCATGGGAACCAAGTGGGATCTGAGAGAGGCTGCAGGCTGCGTGATGGTGTATGCAGAGCCCCGACTCTCATTCCCGGGGATGTCCAGAGTTGTGTAGATCAGTGTCTTTCCTTCTCTCCACAGGGGAAGGGATCAGAGGTCGGCGTATGGGGGGTGGTAGTGGAAGGCCCTCTCAGGTGAAGGGGGGAGGCAGGGGTGTTGGTGTATGCCAGGCTCTATCTGCAGGGGGCGGTTCCTTGGTGTCAGGCTCTATCTGTGGGGGGGGGGGGGGGGGGTTCCTTGGTGTCAGGCTGCCTCTGCGGGGGGGGGGGGGGGTAATCAGGCTCTATAATCCTTGGTGTCAGGCTCTCTCTGTGGGGGGGGGGGGGTTGTTCCTTGGTATCAGGCTCTATCTGCGGGGGGAGGGGGATCCTTGGTGTCAGGCTCTCTCTGTGGGAGGGGTTCCTTGGTATCAGGCTCTAACTGCAGGGGAGGGGATTCCTTGGTGTGTCAGGCTCCCTCTGCGGGGGGGGGGGGGGGGGGGGGGTTCCTTGGTGTCAAGCTCTCTCTGTGGGGGGGGGGGGTGTTCCTTGGTGTCAGGCTCTCTCTGGCTCTCTCTGTGGGGGGGGGGGGGGGTGTTCCTTGTGTCAGGCTCTCTCTGTGGGGGGGGGGGTGTTCCTTGGTGTCAGGCTCTCTCTCTCTGTGGGGGGGGGGGGGTTGTTCCTTGGTATCAGGCTCTATCTGCGGGGGGGAGGACGATCCTTGGTGTCAGGCTCTCTCTGTGGGAGGGGGTGTTCCTTGGTATCAGGCTCTAACTGCAGGGGAGGGGATTCCTTGGTGTCAGGCTCCCCTCTGGGGGGGGGGGGGGCTGATTTATGTGTTGCCCAGGGCAGCACAAAACCTAAATACACCATTGATAACAATGGCGGCTGCAGTGGAAGTTCCCGCCCCGTTGCTATGGCAACCTGTCCCTCCTCCACCAACTCTACCATAGCACTGTAAACAAAGGGAATGGTTCCCTATTTAATAGTAAATAGATAGGAAAGTATATTATATTTTCTTGTTTTAAACTTTTTTGTTTTTTTTTTACATTTCTTCAGTTACTTCCTGGATTCTGGGATAGGCCAAAAGAATGTCATACATCCCAAGAGTCTTCAGGAGGGGCTCTCTCAAGTGAGCACACCCTCCTACATGTATGACTGAGCTACGGCCAGATGGATTCCAAGTAGTAAATGCTACATGAATCATCTGCCCTTACTTAAGATGGCCACAGCAGGACATGGAGACATGCATAGATGGATGAGTTTGCTTTGAATATTAAAAATGAATCACATAGCATTTCTGGTTTGTGGTGCTTAAATGCCATGTAGCTCCACTTTACAAATTCTGGCTACTCAGAGAAAATGTTAGTCATAGATAATTATCCCAAACGCTTATTAGCAAGAACTCTTCACCCCTGGGGAAGAAATCGGCCAATTAATCCTCCGATGAACAAACACCAACACCTGTGTTATTTACCAGCAGCAGGAGCACAGATACAACATCTTGCTATGCTGACCAGTAAAGTGCATGTCAGATGGTCAGAGACTGCGGACATGATACAACAGAGATGGTCAGAGACTGCAGACATGATACAACAGATGGTCAGAGACTGCAGACATGATACAAGAGATGGTCAGAGACTGCAGACATGATACAAGAGATGGTCAGAGACTGCAGACATGATACAAGAGATGGTCAGAGACTGCAGACATGATACAAGAGATGGTCAGAGACTGCAGACATGATACAAGAGATGGTCAGAGACTGCAGACATGATACAAGAGATGGTCAGAGACTGCAGACATGATACAAGAGATGGTCAGAGACTGCAGACATGATGCAAGAGATGGTCAGAGACTGCAGACATGATGCAAGAGATGGTCAGAGACTGCAGACATGATGCAAGAGATGGTCAGAGACTGCAGACATGATACAGGAGATGGTCAGAGACTGCAGACATGATACAAGAGAGATGGTCAGAGACTGATGACATGATAAAAGAGATGGTCAGAGACTGCAGACATGATACAAGAGATGGTCAGAGACTGATGACATGATAAAAGAGATGGTCAGAGACTGCAGACATGATACAGGACATGGTCAGAGACTGCAGACATGATACAGGAGATGGTCAGAGACTGCAAGCATGATACAAGAGATAGTCAGAGAACAAACACCAACACCTGTGTTATTTACCAGCAGGGAGTACAGGTACAACATCTTGCTATGCTGACCAGTAAAGTGCATGTCAGATGGTCAGAGACTGCGGACATGATACAAGAGATGGTCAGAGACTGCAGACATGATACAGGAGATGGTCAGAGACTGCAGACATGATACAAGAGATGGTCAGAGACTGCAGACATGATACAAGAGATGGTCAGAGACTGCACGCATGATACAAGAGATGGTCAGAGACTGATGACATGATAAAAGAGATGGTCAGAGACTGATGACATGGTACAAAGAGATGGTCAGAGACTGCAGACATGATAAAAGAGATGGTCAGAGACTGCAGACATGACACAAGAGATGGTCAGAGAGACTGATGACATGATAAAAGAGATGGTCAGGGACTGCAGACATGATACAGGACATGGTCAGAGACTGCAGACATGATACAGGAGATGGTCAGAGACTGCAAGCATGATACAAGAGATAGTCAGAGAACAAACACCAACACCTGTGTTATTTACCAGCAGGAGCACAGATACAACATCTTGCTATGCTGACCAGTAAAGTGCATGTCAGATGGTCAGAGACTGCGAACATGATACAAGAGATGGTCAGAGACTGCAGACATGATACAGGAGATGGTCAGAGACTGCAGACATGATACAGGAGATGGTCGGGAGAGACTGCAGGCATAATACAGGAGATGGTCATGTAACTGTAGGTATGCAATGGGAGATGGTCAGAGACTGCAGACATGCAACAGCAAATTGTAAGAAACAACAGGCATGCTGCAGAAAACAAACTGGGACTGAACATGCTATCGGAGTTGTTGGAGAATGGGGACATGTTTCAGGAGACTATCAGAGACATTGCTCCCTCATCTGTGCTCTCTTACATATGACTTATGCCACATTTGATATTTGTTTCAGTAATCCAAAGTCCATTATAAAATATTGAAAAAAAGTAAAGGGATGGACAGCTAAGAAAAAAGTAAGACAGTATGATGAGATAAACCAAACCCATCTAAAGAATAATTATCCTTTTGCTAGCTTAAATGAGCACCAGAACCTTGTCATCAAGTGCCCCGAGGGTTAACACAGTGAGTGCCAAAGGGTCACAGGATGGGTACCAGGAAAGTATGATTTAAATCTGCATCACATAGCTGTAACCACCAGGTGGCACTATAAACTGGCTGAAATAAAATATCCACAAGGTTAAAGTCGACCTATAGGTAAAACTTTTTTTTTTTTTTCATTTTGGATAGAGCATGGGAGGGCATGCCATCTGTGTCCCATTAGGGAGATTTCCCTTCACTTCCTGCCCCATACCCAAGAAGAAAATGAGAAGAAATCTCTGCAAATTAAGGGAATTCCTTGGGGCCCCCAGGTCAGGTCATCAGAACTAGTGTCCCCATTGGAAGATTTCCCCTCTATTACTGTTCTTGGAACAACCCAAAATTTTGGATTTCCTTTAACTTTCAATGCTACCGGTACACAGGATAAAATGAGGGGTGGGGATCTCCATAACAAGGGCACAGACAGCAATAAAAAGCTGACGGGTTCTGAAAAAAACAAAACAAAAAAAATTTGCTCTTAGTTATACTTTAGGTAAATCTAAAGCCAAATGTTTTCATTTTTCACAAAGGAGGAAAGGGTTAAATACATGGCCGAGGCTCTAACCATTCCTTATTCTGTTCAATTTCAGGTTAAACTGTAAATAAAGAATATTTTGGAAAGAGTTCCTCTTTAAAAAAAAAAGTTAACCAGACATTTCTACATTTTGGAGCACTAATATCACTGGTTCACATTTGGCATTTTGGGATCTCTGGTGGATTCCCTTTGATTCTTCTCGTGATCTCAAATCGCACTACATTTGCAAAACACATGTTCAGATGCCATTCATTTTCAGTTGCACCTAAAACGCAATGTGGTTTTGCATCGATTATCAAATGATAAACCGCACGCCAAACTGCAACGCGCAAACCTTGTCGACCGGGTCCAGAGTACGTAAGGCGTGTGCAATGTTAAGGCTTGACATGTTTGGTATCCATTTACTTGATACAACCCTATCTTTTATATTTTAACAAAAAAATGGGAAATTATATTGTGTTTGTGTGCACTAGATATCATTTTAGTGTATTTTTTGTCCTGTAAAAGTAGACTTCTAGACTTAAATGTAGATAACGATTTGTGTAAAAAATCTAGAAATTCACTAGAAATCTAGTGAAACGTTAAAAAATTGCAACTTTTGCTTTACATTTATTTTACAGGACCTCTGCTTTCATTAAAATGTAGCACTAGTAAAAAAGAAGAAGTTGTGAGCGCTATGAAGATTAAAAGCAGCCACAGCATCAAAAAGGGATACCAATAAACCTTATACAGACATAAAATATAAAAGATGCGGCGCTATATAGCAAATATTAGAGTAAAAAAACATCTAAGATAACAATATAGTGGTTATGTGACTAATGTGATCTCAAACACTATGTCACAAGCAGAGTAACATGCAGTGCAAAAACAGTCTTTGTGATAATTTTCTTCAAAGTGCTGCTTCCATGCGGTGAACGTGAGAAGGATAAGGTTGTGCACTCACCAGATGCACAGTGTAACTGCGCATTTAGAGATAATATATCTCTACAAGATCCACCGGTAGCTTCTCAAGATCAGATCAAGCCAGATACTCCTCCACCCACTGGATGTTGCTGATAATCCACGGTCTCTCTCTTGAGTGGCTCTATAGGTGATAAGTGTGACTCACCAAGGGCCACAGAGAAAAGAGACCAATAGCGTGATACCGTTTAAAAGATTTTTATTCTTATGCAGTATAACATGGGTGAGGAATAAACGAACAAACACTGAGCCAAGGTGGGCAAAAAATCTGCATCTGAGGTCTTGTGCAAGGACATTATTTTATGCTGCACACATACAGAGTGCTTCACAAATGCACTCTATTGCAGCCCCACATTTTAGCAACGTACAGACGCTATGCGGCGAAAACTGCCTGCACCCTAGCAACAGAACAATGCTAGGTGGCGTCCTTCATAAACCACCTGGACCCCAGCAACAGAACAACACTAGGGCTGCCTGCATCCTAGCAACTAAAGATTACTTCCTTCAGAAGCCACCTGTGTTCTAGCAATAGAATGTTAGGTGGCCACCTTCAGAAGCTGTGTCCTAGCAACAGAAGGGTGCTAGGTGGTCTCATTCAGACGCCACCCTGTGTCCTAGCAACAGAAGGGTGCTAGGTGGCCTCCTGCAGAAGCCACCTGTGTCCTAGCAACAGAAGCATGCTAGGTGGCCTCCTTCAGAAGCCAACTGTGTCCTAGCAACATTGAGATGCTAGCTGTCCTCCTTCAAAAGCCACCTGTGTCCTAGCAACAGAAGAATGCTAGGTGTTCTCCTTCAGACGCCACCTGTGTCCCAGTGACAGAAGGATACTAGCTGTCCTCCTTCAGAAGCCACCAGTGTCCTAGAGACAGAAGGATGCTAGCTGTCCTCCTTCAGAAGCCACCTGTGTCCTAGCAACAGAAGGATGCTAGCTGTCCTCCTTCAGAAGCCACCAGTGTCCTAGTGACAGAAGGATGCTAGGTGGCCTCCTTCAGAAGCCATTAGTGTCCTAGCGACAGAAGAATGCTAGGTGGCTTCCTTCAGAAGCCACCTGTGTCCTAGCACCAGAATAATGCTAGCTGTCCTTTGTCAGAAGCCACCAGCGTCCTAGCGACAGAAGGATGCTAGCTGTCCTCCTTCAGAAGCCACCTGTGTCCTAGCACCAGAATAATGCTAGCTGTCCTCCGTCAGAAGCCACCAGTGTCCTAGCGACAGAAGGATGCTAGCTTTCCTCCTTCAGAAGCCACCAGTGTCCTAGCGACAGAAGGATGCTAGCTGTCCTCCTTCAGAAGCCACCAGCGTCCTAGCGACAGAAGGATGCTAGCTGTCCTCCTTCAGAAGCCACCAGTGTCCTAGCAACAGAAAAATGCTAGGTGGCTTCCATTTTCTGTGAAATCCTTTTCAAGTGTTTGCTGAATCTTACGCCTTTTAGATTAGCACCGGTGGTGTAACAATACCAATAGTAGTCCATACAGCTGCCATGGGGCCTGGGGTAAAGAAGGGGGGCCCTATGAGAGAAGCTGTTAAGGAAAGCTAAACTGTGAAGTCCTCAGTATAGAGAGGGCTGAAGTCAGACCCCCTGGATGATGGCTAGTCACAGACCTCTGCAGGATAGCAAGAAGCATGTACTATGGTGTCTTGACCCTGTAGAGTTATTGCACCCTGAACTTCTGCTATAGACTGAAATTAACCCTGTATGTCACAAATCCCAGGGTTTCTCCTCTGCCAAATGCCAGGGTTTCTCCTCTGCCAAATGCCAGGGTTTCTCCTCTGCCAAATGCCAGGGTTTCTCCTCTGCCAAATGCCAGGGTTTCTCCTCTGCCAAATGCCAGGGTTTCTCCTCTGCCAAATGCCAGGGTTTCTCCTCTGCCAAATGCCAGGGTTTCTCCTCAGCAAAAACATTATAAGAAAACCAAAGAAGCCAAGAATTGAAATAATTCCCAGTTTTGTCAGAATCTACAATGCAGTGATGGGTATTACACAACCAGAACCTTCACCTCCAGCACTGCTCCTTAGTAATATGCTGACAGTTCTGCTGCCTGTCCCTGATTTGGACATTATTTATGTTAGGATCAATGACACATTGTCACAGTTGACACTGCCAGCTGCTACAGGGAGATGTTAGGGCCCCTAAACGTGCTATGGGGCCCCATGATTGGCGCACAAGATTAAACAATGCCACTATGTATAGATCTCAAGTGACGTCTCTGTTTACCATCTGATAACGTTGGCACGATAGTATATATATGAAAGCCATTATTTATTCTTAGTAAAACAAATGTGTTTTGTTAGTACATGGAGAATATGGGTGTATTCATCCTGCAGGCTTTCACACGGGTCAGTGGAAGCATCTTGCCCTGTGATAAGTAAACAGTGACTGAGTCATTGTCATTACAAGTGAAAGAGGTGGTTATTGTCCTCCCGGTCGTGCCTCGCCTGTACACAGAGACAGATCCTTGTGTAGACTACATCAGTGGTTGTCAATTTACA